AATGAAATGGTTGAGAGTTGAAACCTGCCCTTCTGGTAGCAGTATAGGAAACATAGTCAATTCTTTATTACCAGCCTTGTTGGCCAGTGTTGGCGGTATTTTAGATCCAGTCAAATGATTAGTAAGGACAGAGTTAGGATCATAACCTGAGGAATGATTATGATGAAAAACCTTTTACATTTTTTTAAATTGCGCCTTTTGTCTTGGATTTAGTCAGCTACAAAGGGGCTGAATATTGAGAAAGCAATGGTGGCTCTAGGCCCACAAAGAATGTATTTTTCTAGCATAATGTTTTGTGGTGAAAGGGAGATGACAGGTAGGCAAAATTCCATATAATAATATTTTTCATATCCGAATTTTAAACCTCAAATTTGAATATGAACATAAGCCTTTTTGGCCATTTCTTTCAGTCACTGCATATTGTTCACCTCAAATCCTTACTGTTTATGTTTCAGAAAACCTCTTGCATGCTTCATATGATGAATAAGTATTTAGAGTTAAAAAATGGCACAACTGTATTCCATTCCTACTTTTCCATCTTCCAGTTGCTTAATGCCAAGTGATAAAAAAATTGTGCGTAGCAGAGTGGAATATCTAGGATCAAAGCATGACATAAAGATTGTGTTTTATGCCCTGTCATAATTACCCAGTCAAAACTTGTGTGCACAATTAGGACATTTTTGCTGGGTCTGGCAGAGTGCCTCTCCAGCACTGCTGTGAAGTCCCTGGAGTCCCTGCAGCCCTCACTGTGTGGGCAGTTACCCCTTCATTCATCTGCCACACCTTGATTTTAATAACTTTTATGAGAGAGGCTGCCTCTGGGCTTCCCAAATTGCTCTCAAAATTGACCACCAGGTGCATGTGGGTCCACTGCCTTGTGGGCTAATTGCATGGCTTCATTCCTCCCTTAGACCATGCTCCATGCCTCTCAGATGGTATCCTTCTCAGATGTTTTCCTTTACTTTAACTCCCTTCTGGGGTTCCTGGACCGTCATTAGTCCCACACTCTCAGCCCCTCACTAGGCTCTAGACCCACCAGTCCCGCACTCTCAGCCTCTCATGAGGCTCTGGACTCCTCCCTGCATCCCTAGGACCCTCCTCCTCCCCTTAGTTCCTCCCCAACCTACAGAATTCTTCACCTGTCTCTTAAGTGGTGGTGCTCCAGTGTTTTTGCAGCAGGCCCCAAGATGTTACTGCCCACTTATCTCAGGGCCTGGGACTACATCTACTCTAAGCCTAGCCCTTCTCCTGAGTCAGGAGACTCCCCCTACCCAGCCTAGCCTCACCTGGCAGCTCCCTGGGTCAGGGACTCTCAATTAGTCCTGGCCCACACCTGCTGCCTGCTTCGCAGGACACCTGAGCTCTTAAAGTGGCGGACACCCCAAGTGCCCTGCCACACTGGGCCCTTAAGGAGTTACCACAGGAAAATTAAAGACGATGAAAATGAAAATACTGCTGGGGTGGCACTGATGCTATTTAATTATTTCAAGGGAAGGAGGCCAATAAGATTAGGCCAGTGATTTTGTTGTTTTTCAAACCCCACTCCCTTAATTTAGACACATTTTAGGAATCCTTTATGTTTGACTTTCCTATATACATATAATTATAGGATTCATATATCCTTATTCAATCTTGCATATTGCTAAGTATATGCTAATTACATTTTGAAAACACATGCATTCATGCATGCACACATATGGAGAAAATCAGCATCTACTAACCCTTCCAAAACATTTTTAGTTTAACTTAATGCTCCTTGACTGTGCTTATGCGTTTAATAGCATGCACAGAACTACAGGGCCAGTTAAGTCATGGCTGTCCAACTAACAGCCTGTGGGCTGCATGTCATCCCCAAGGGGTTCAGTTGCAGCCCTTGGGTTCCCACCCAGCTGCCATTCCCCCTGTTTGCTGCAGCAGCAGGTAGGAACTCCAGCCCCCGCCCCCCCAGCCCACAGCTGCTTCTTCCTGCCCCTGCCTCAAGGGGTAGGGGGCTATAGTGCAGCATAGCCTGCCATAGGAGAGCTCATGGCTGGGAAGCTAAGGGTAAGTCAGCATGTCTGGGTGTGTGGTGCAGCAGGGAGTTGCAGGGAACAGCAGTAAGTGGGGTATGCAGTGTAGCAGGTAGGCACAGGGATTAGCAGTGGGGGGAACATGTGCTGCAGGATGGATGGATGTGGGAGCAGCAGTGGGGATGTGCCCAGTGCAGTGTGGTGGGGGTATGTAGTGCAGTGGGGAGGCATGGGGAGCAGGAGTAGGGGGAGTTCAGTGAGGGGGGATATAGTATGCGGGAGGCACCTAGGCACATAGTGCAGAGTGGAGGTGCCCTGTATGCAGTGGAGGAATGGGGACACCTAGGCTCTGGGTACATCAGTGGGGGACATGGGGTGCAGCATGGGGGGGGGCAAACAGTCCCCTGGGAACCATGGCCCCTGCCTGGTACAGTCCCTACTAGTGTGACTACAAAAGACATTACCTGGATCGGCCATTTGGATCCCTTTCACCCTATGGGCTTGTTTGCCTCTCCCTTCCCTCCCTCCCTCCCTCCCTGTCTTTTGTACTGAAATCATTCTCTTCATTTAATACACTTCTCTGTGCATGTCCTTTCACAACATCTGATGAGATGAGCCTGGGCTCATGAAAGCTCATGCTACGTATCTCTTAGTTAGTTAGTCTAAAAGGTGCATATCCACCCTACATTCTGCCTGACTTCAGATTAATAAACACGGCTAACGAATTCTCTTTGTCACTAGAAAGGCCAAAAATTGATTCTGAGGGGAGACCAGGTTACCATCCTAGAGAAGAGTTTTCCAATTCATCTTTGAGGAACATTGGCTAAAGCTTGTGATATTCATCAAAGATTCAAGGAGTGAGGAAATTGAAGACTACATTTTTCCCTAATGTTCAGATGCAGGTCATATTGCTTCTGTCAGTGTTTTTCAGCAACTTTGCAGTGCATAAATGCAAGCTGCTGCAGTGCAAAATGTAAAAACGAGGTTACAGAGAAGATAGCAGATAATGATGAGAAAACAATTCTAAATAATTCACTTTAAATTGAATAAATAGTATGAAGTTTTTTATAATCCCTCTGATGCAAAACTGTAACTCTGACTTCAACAAGAGTTATATAAGTGTTTTATTCACATGTATCATAAACTTTACAGCATACGTTTAAGGTTGGGAATTAATTTGTGTTGGCCTGTGAACATAACCATTTATTTTTGGCAAGGAAGATTGAAAGGCATTTTTATTTTTGTTTCTATACTGAAAGGTACAAAAAGGGTTCTCTGTTGTACATAGAACTGACTTTAAAAATATAGTAATTAACTTAAGATTTTTTATTTGTCTTTGGAGACGGTCTTTTTTTATCAGAGACTGCAAACTGATGTACATTAGATGTTAGATGCATAAAATGGCATTTTTATGTTACTGTAAAATACAGATATGCATTGTTAAGGTTGTATGTGGGAATGTAGATTTTAACAATTTTGACCTTGAAATCAAGGCTAAATACAGACAGTGAAAAAGCCCAAGGAGGAACAATCCAATCTTCACAAGGATCTTGAAGTGGCATAAACTGGACTATTAGTGAACAGAACTCACATTCACTCTGGTTGGTGAAGGCAGGTAGACACCTGCACTGGTTGAGGCCAGAAGGCAGTGGGCACTCCCACACACCTCCCAGCCCGCTGGCCATTGCTGAGGGCAGCCAAGCCCAGTCTAGCAGGGGCCATCCCAGATTGGCTGCCCAGCACAGGCCCACAATCCCTTACTGTGAGCCGGGGGGGGAGGGGGAGAAAGGGAGAGAGCTAGCATGGAATCTCTCCCCAGCCCTGCGATGGCAGATGGTGGTGGGGTCCTGGCCCCTTCCTAGCTGTGGTCTACCCAGCTGGGGGAGTCCTGCACTGCGGGGGTTTCCCTCTGGTTTGGCTAGGTCAGGCTGCTTGGTTCCGTCCACTGGGAGTCACTACCTTTGCCCGTGGGAGGATTGCCCAGGTCAGAGGATAATCCCCATGGTTCAAGCCCTGCCACAGCTGGCAGACCCCAGCTCCAGAGACTGGGACTGGGGCAGGGGAAAACCCATGTGGCATGTACCCCTCCTCCCCCCCACCCCCCCGCTGCAGAGACCCTAGTTTGGGGGCTCCAAGATCAGGGTGGGGGGGAAAGCCCTTGCAGTGTAGTGGGCTCCCCAGGCTGGGCAAACCCCAGGTTGGGTAGGCCAGAGCCAGGGCAAGGGAGCTCTGTTCCCCTGTCTCCCCCCTGCTGCCCTTCTAGGCTGATGGATACAGGCAGGGTGCAAGCTGGGGAGCCAAGTCTTTGCTGCCTCTCTGTGACAACCCAGCTGTGGGGCTGGACCAGCTCAGCCAGAGCAGAGGAGCAGTGGTGGAGGCTAGCCCAGGCTTCCTCTGGGGGTGGGGAGTGAGTAGCAGGTGGCTGCAAAGCATCCTAGGACACCAAGGGACTGCGACCTAACTTGAGTTGAGAGGGGATCTGGAACAGAAGTTTGATAGACGGGTCTAACCTAAACTGATTAAATCTGATACAGTACTACATCCATTCAGGTCTATCTTAAACTGGGTTCGCCATTTTGAAACCAGTCTATGTGCACTGAACTTCTCTTCTGTTACAGTCCAGTTTCTGATCACTTATACTGGTTTATGTGTTATTTCTTTACCTAGCTCAGAAGGAAAACTACATCTTCCATTTTTAAAAAAAAGAACATTTCATGAATTGCAAACAGTAGAGTGGAAGAAAACTATAGTATGAAAAACAATCCTTCCTTTTTATTTTTCATATAAAAGATTTCTATGATTTTTGCATTACCTGTGTATTCGGTTTATAAGTTGTATATTTTCTCTGTGGCTTACTTTGATACAGCCTGTGATACAGCATAGAACTGAGAATTCTAGTTTCCAGTCCAAAGGAGTGGGATAAATCTAAAAGGAAAACTATTGTATGTTCCTATTTTTAGGGTTGATTTAAAGTCATTTTTCTCTTTGTAGATACGCTATAAAGAAGAGTATGAAAAATCTAAAGGGAAGTGCATATTTGTTCCTGACACTCCTCAGCTAAATCACGCGAAAAATATCAGTGCTTTTATTTCTGAGGTAAGACATAAAAGATTGCAGCATGTTCTTTAGTACTCATTCACCAAGAAAAAATCCGTTTACTTGAATAGCACTATTCTTAAAGGAAGAGTATATTTATATCAAGTTACAATATGATCTAAAAATTTAAGTGAGTTAAAGCACTATCACTACTGTATGCAGTTTGTTGTATAATCATAACATGGAATTATATAATAGTTTTCTTTTAGGGCCTCAAAGCACTTTACAGGCATTAAATGTATATGGTTCAATTACAGCCGAAACTACACTCAATTTACAGATGTGTAAAGAGAGATATGGAAGAGTTATTGTTTTTATTATACTAGTGTCTAGGCACTCACTCTGCTATACATATGAACAGGAATTGTGTCTGCCTTGAAATTATAGTCTAAATCAGTGATTCCTGACCAGTGGGCCATAGCACTCGGGGGTGCCCTGAGATCCTTTTAAGGGTGGTACATATAAGTTTACAGGTATTTACATGGGTATTTCTAATATTTTGGTACCACTTTCTGAGTTGAAAAAAGAGGTACGGGAGATGTACCTTACATTGTTTTATGGATTAGCTTTACTCATCTAAAATTCTTTAAATAATTTTTTGATGATCTGCATAAATTTGTAAGTTCCTCTGTGACACACTTTTATGTCTTTTCCCATATGACAGTTCTGTTGTATCAATTTTATTTCACATTAAAACAAAGTTCTTTTTTTAAAGTTATTATGTGATTCTGCTTGAAGCTATTGCTTTTATTTGTTTCCTTTTTTCCTCTCTAGGCAAAGTACAAAGGATCTGCTAAGAAAGACCTCTCTGACTCTATCTACAAGCAAATGCCAGCCACAATTGATAGTGTTTTTGCAAAAGAAGTTACACAGCTTCAGAGCAAGGTGCAGTTTAGACATAAATAAAAATAACCTTCCAGACTAACTCTGTAATGAAAAATTACTAATCTAAATATTTTTGAATGGGAGAGCCAGGCATGCATTCATTATTTCATGTGATGTTAGTGCACAAGCTGTGTAAAGGAAGGCAGATCTTTAAATCAGTTAGTTATTTTGTGATGTATATTGCACACAGTGGTTCCAGGTGTTGTATTTCCTTTGTTACATATTTCATAAATTCCCCTCACTGATTTGAACAAGGTGAAGAAGAAGCATAAAATATTTTAAAATCGGTGACTTTCCTGATGTTCTTTATTCATAATAAACAACTTAAGCATATTAAAATATTCAAAATGATACCAGTCAAAAATCTTTTAGAGATTTACAGATATGGATTCCCATTTATGGAATATTATAATAGCAATCAGAAAAATAATTAATCTCTGTTCAATATGCACAACTAAATAATATATAATTAATCAATTTTAGGTTCTGAAAGCCCTCAGTTCCTATTGACTTCAGTTGGAATTCAGAGGCTCTTGGCAGACATGCAAGTAAAGGTTCCATGAACTATGATGTATGATCTCTACAATTGTGGTTCCTGCTATGACACACATAGTTTCATAGTTGGTAGGGTCGGAAGGGACCTGAGGAAGTCATCTAGTCCGACCCCCTGCCATGGCAGGAAAGAGTACTGGGGTCAAATGACCCTGGCCAGATGTTCGTCCTCCCTCCTTTTAAAGACCCCCAGGGTAGGAGCCAGCACCACTTCTTTTGGAAGTTGGTTCCAGGTCCTAGCCACTCTGACAGTGAAATAGCGCTTCCTAATGTCTACCTTGAAACTACTCTCCGCTAGCTTGTGTCCGTTGTTTCTTGTAACTCCCAGGATTGCTCGGGGGAATAGGGACTCTTCCAATGCCTGCTGGGAGTCTCCCAATGCCTCCCACATTCATGGCAAGAGGCATGATTGTGGGATAGAGTATGAGATTCCATCATGTCTTCCTGCTGTTGCAGGGGGGAGCCTGGGTTTATTTTCCTGGGCTGCCCCTGCACTGGCAAATAGCAAGCTCCTGTGGCTGGAAGCCCTGTCAGCTAATGGGGCTCTCAGTTTCACAGATTCATAGATTGTAAGGCTGGAAGGGACCTTGGAAGATCACTGGGTCCAGCCCCCTGCACCAAACAGGAAAGATAACGGGGTCAGGTAACCCCAGCAAGGTGGTTGTCTAGTCTCGTCTTCAAGATTTCTAGGGTAGGTGATCGCATCACCTCTGGAGGGAGCTTATTTCAGTCTGGACACCCTGACTGTAAAGAAGTTTTCCCTAAGGTTGAGGCTGAATCAGTCTTCCATGAGTTTGTAGCCATTACTCCTAGTTTTCCCCTCAGGTGCTCTGGTGAACAGTAGCTCACTGAGCCCTTGATGTACTCCCCTAGTGTAGTGGTAAGCTGCTACCAGGTCCCCTCTCAGCCTTCTTTTCCTCAGGCTGACGAGTCCCAGATCCCTCAGCCTTTTCTTGTATGGATTGCAGTGTAAAATTCTGATCATATGGGTGGCTTTTCTTTGGACTCTCTGAAGCTTGTCCATGTTAAAGTGTGGTGTCCATGTTAAAGTGTGGTTAAAGTGTGGTGCCCAGAAATGGACACAGTACTCCAGCCGCAGTTTCACCAATGCTGAGTAGAGTGAAAGAATCACCTCCTTGGTTTTCCTGGAGATCCATCGATTGATGCATGCCTGAGTATTATTTGCCCTACTGGCTACAGCATTGCACTGCTGTACTGTGTCAAGAGGTACACTGTGTGGATGGGAGCCATAGTCTGGCCATGTGTTCAATTAATAATGAAATAGGAACTAGGCACAAAATTATTACACATTTATTGTATTCAGTTAATCGCATCTTAAGTGTAACATGAGCTAGAGGCCTGAGTGTTCAGCACTTCTTAGAAATGAAATAGGATATTTTCAGTATTATTCATTACAACCATAGCAGAGAGAGATTGAAGGATTGACTCCTTTATATAGTCTGTCTTGTTTGCCAGGATTGTTTGTTTTCTCTACAGTAAAATTTTAGTTCCTTCTCCATTCTGTCCAGTCAGTACCGAGAATGGGAAGAATTTAAAACCCCACATAAGACCAAGTAGCAAGAAGTTGGTTTTGAACTTGGGTATGAAATGTACAGCTAAAAATAATATTATTACTCCCTAAACATCACTTAATTTTATGCCCCCCCTGCCCCAACATTTTAGACAAATGAACTATTTTTAGATTGAAGTGTCAGGTCCAAAAAAACCCCACAATGCTAATTTTATACTAGTGGCAATATCTCAACAGTTGTTCAGTACACTGATTTTCTTTTGAACTACTTTAAAGAATGCTTCAATTGGAATTAAAAGTTCATAACCAAAGGAAATACCATATTCTGAAGACAGTTTGGAGAGGACTGTAGGGGTTTTGCTTTTCTCTGCAGTGTGAGACAGTGTTTAGTGCCCGGACTGGGGAGCTGGGACCTGTGCTGGTGCAGCTACCACTTCTTCCTATCCATCTTCTAGGATCAGCTTGTTGTATATTAACCTAATACCTCAACTTCTCTTCCATTAAAATAGCAGGGCATTGCCGGCATACTTGTCTCCCCTGTTTTTTACCTGTCGCATACTGTAGGATGTTTTTAACTTTGCCTTTGTAATATGATTTGTCTGTTGTGTATGAGATGGGTTGCATTGGGTAGTTATTAGGACTCTGGTATGTGGTGGCTTGTAAATGCAGGGAACTGAGCTCTGTGGCCCAGGAGGGATCCTTCTAGTCTACTGTTCCTCTTCATATATGGGGCTGAGCAGCCAGGAGCTGTGCCCACACTACTGCTACTTTTCCTTGTCCCCTGCTTCCTTTCTCTAAAGTTGCAACATAGATGCAGCTTCGAGTCAGAGGGGAGCTGTGCCAGGGCTAGGGAAGTGGAAGATATGCCAGCACTATTGCCTCTTCTCCCCACCCATCTCCTCTCCTCACTCTCCACAAGGCTGGGGTGCAAGAACAGCTTCCTGCTGGTGGGGAGCTGTGCTGGGGCCTAGCAGCTGGAAACTGGTTCCTCACTGCTGCTGCTTCTCCCTGCCTCTGCCTCCTCATTCCCCTTCTCCCTGGCTGCAATGCAAGAGAAGCTTTCAGTTGGAGTGAAGCTGCGCCAGGGCCAGGCTGGGTAGGGGGATGGGGGTGCAGCTTGCAGAGTGGAAGCTGTGCTCACATTGCAGCTGGGGAGCATGGGGCTGGGAGAAGCGTGAGCACAGCTCCCAGCTGCATTGCTCCAGTGTGGGTGCAGGGAAAGCATCCCCCCATTTGCCTCTGACACATCACTGAAGCCACTCGGCCCATACTAGACTGGGGCTGGATTGTCCTTGGCCCAAAGCTTGAAAAAGGTTTCTGGCCCCTGCACTAAGTTAAATCAGAGCAGTAACTACAGTGACATTAATGTGGCACCCCATTGTAAAATGAGTGATTAGAAAAGTTGTAGCTAAAATAAATTTCAGATTAAAATTGTATAACTTTTTAAAACATTAGGCTTGATTTATAAACTTCAGTTAACTGGTTTGCCATGGGATTTATACCTGGATCAGTTCCAACACTAGTTAATAAAAATTAAATAATAATCCCCCCTCCCACATGAGTGATTCTGGGAAATGGTCTGACACTAAAAATAAAAACATTTGAGTCAGCAAAACAATCACAAAAGTGAATAGGTACTGCCATTTTCATTTGACATTTGTTGAACATGTTGCTTAACATCCAAAATTCTTAAATAAATATGCAGTGTAGTAGGAGCCAAGCTATAACTCAAAAATATGTATCATCCCCTGTAAGAGTAAATGCATTGTAAATCATAACATACCATAAAATTTAAGATGTGCTGACACATTTTTCCAAGTTGTGGTTACTTTACAACAATCCTGAATTTAATGCAGCTTTGGGAGACATCCTGAGGGATTTTTGCTGGAAAGTCTTTACAGTATCTAAATCTGATCCACATTGTGTCCATTATTATTGTATTATGTAGCAAGTGAAATGATTTCAAATTTTAACTGTGCCATGGTAGGAAGGATGTTTGTTGCTGTTTCAGTGAAGTTATAGTTCAATAGATTGTCATTTTCTTCAAGAGAAAACCCAAAATGGGAGATATGAGGGAAAGTACTTGCTGGTTATGATGCCATTACCTTCTTTACAGAAAGGTTGTTATGAAATAGGTGGAAAAGCCAGAGTCCTTTTTTGGAAGGCAGTGATGGTTCTGCTATGATATTGAGTTGACTACAACCTTTATACCTCTTCTATGCTGACGCTGAATATTTTGGCATAAGTGTTCAGTTAAGTGTGACAGAGGCCATGTGGGGAAACTGTACAGAAAATTCCCTGGTTTTTGACAGAACAGTGGAACCCAGAGTGGCAT